CCATTTTTCTCTCAGCCCCCCTTTTCCTCATGGCTCTCATTTTTCTCCCTTACCCCTCTCCTGGCTCTCTCCTCCCTTGCCCCTCTCCTGGCTCTCTCCAGTCTCTCTCTCTCAGATCTCTAGACACTTGCACCTATCCCAGCTCTCTCTCGGACCTCACCCCTCTCTCAGCCCTTGGTCCTCTCTTGCCTCTTTAATCTCTCTCTTGGTCTTTGCCCCTCTCTCATCCCTATCTCCTTTCTTGCTCCTCCCAGGCTCTCTCTTGGCCCTTGCCCCTCTTTCATCTCTCTCCCAGCCATCTCTCGGGCATCGTGCCTCTCTCAGTCATTGCTCCTCTCTCAGCTCTCTCTCAGCCCTGGATACTCTCTCCTACCTCTCTCTGTCACCCCCCTCCCCTCTAGCTCCCATCCTCTCTCCCCTCCCCTTCCTTTTCATCTTCCCCTCTTGTCTTCCTTCCCTCTCTCCGCTCCCTCGCCCTGAACCTCTCGTCTCATCCCCTTGCTCTCCCTTCTCTCCCTCTCTCCCCTCCTCCCTCTTTCTTGAACCTGTCTTGCCCCTCTCCAGCTGCCCCTCTCATCTACCTCTCTTGTCCATATCTCTCTCGCCTCCCACCCTCTGGTCCCTCTCTTGTGCCTCTCTTGCCTCCCCGCCATCTCCCCTCCCCTCCCCTTTCTCTCTTCTCTTGCCCCCCCTTCCCTCCTAGCTCTTGTCCCCTCTCTCTGCTTCCCTCTCATCTTCCCCCTCACCCCCCTATGACCCTCTCTCCCTCCTTTCCCTTGTCTCTTCTCCTCTCCCCTCTTCTCCCCCACCTCTCCCACCCTCCTGCCTCTCCCTCGCCTCCCTACGCACTCTAGTCTCCCTTGACTCTCTTGTCTCTCTCCTCTCCTGTCTCTCTTCTCTCATCTTCCCTGGTCTCCCACATTTCTCATCTAATCTCTCAGCCCTCTCTTGCCCCCTCCTTCTCCCCTCAGCTCTCACGTCCCTCTCATCTCCCTCTCCCACCCCTCCCTCTCCTGCTGCCTCATCTCCCTTATGTCCTGTTGTCTGTGTCCTGTTTAATCTCATCGCATCTCCCCATCTCTCTCCCGGTTCTGTCATCCTCTCATGTCTCATCTCTCTTCTCCTCTCATCACTCCTCTTGTCTCATCTCTTGTCTCATGTCTCGTCCTCTCCTCTCATCTTGCCTTGTGTCTTTCACCTCATCTCTTTCTCATCTCACCTCTCGTCTCTCCCTCACCTCTTGTTTCTCTCTCCCATCTTTCCCACTGTTCCCCTCTCCCCCCATCTTTTTCATCTTGCCTCGTCTCGCCTCTCTTGTGCCTCCCTCTGTCCCCTCCCTTCTCTCTCTCTTGTGCCCCTCCTCTCCTGCCCCTCTCTCATACTCTCTCTCCCGTCTCGCTCTCTTCTTGGCTCTCTCGTTTCCTCTCATCTGGCCTCTCACCTTGTCCATCATGTCTCTCATCTGGCCACTCTTGTCTTGCCTGGCCTTTCATTTCTTGTCTCATCTTGTCTCTGTCGGCTTGCCTCTCTCGTCTCGTGTCTCATCTCTCTCATTTTGTGTCTCCTCTTATCACTCGTCTCATTTTCCCCCTTGTGTGTGGCAATTAATCACGGACTCCGCGTATAAGTTTAGGCGAAGACAAGCGAAGATGACGACGACAATGACACTTTATTTTTACAATCTATCCCTTTTATAATATGATCTAGTGTTCACGAGCAAGCAAAACTTATTTCATTGGCTACTGTCTTGTGTCCACGCGTCTCTTCAGCATTACTTATTGGTTCTTCAAGCTGGTGCACGCAAATTCCTCTTTCAGGGATGTATCCAATCTCATCCTTATTTTTCTGCCTCTAAGTTTCACAAACTTGTTTGTAACAAGCCTCAAGGCCACAG